GTGTTCCATTTCTTTTTTAACAATTTCTAATTTTCCTACATTCATGGTTCTCACATTCCATGTTCCAATCACTACTGTCTGCTTACAACTGTTCCTCTTCCTTTGTATTTCCATGCTTGACAGTTCTGCCTAGGTTTCCCTTTCTGTTCGTCTACGTGTGTTGTGTTGTACATAGGATTTTCAGAGCCCTTCCATTTCAGAAGTGGATGGCCAATCCTTCTTACTTGTCTGTCTTAATCTGAGTGTTTAGATTTAGAGGAGTATCTGACAGACAGCAATTTGTGGAGTAGTGAAAGATAAATCCCTCATTTTGGAGTTGACCATTAGTTACAGTGTAATCCTTGCCCTTAGCCCAGTGTGTTGACCCACTTATTTCCCAGCTCCACCCTCTAGCAGGATACCACTTCAGTTCTACCAAATGCCTTCAGAATTAATTAATTTCCCATTCTCTGACAGCTTGTCAGAGAGATTTTTTTTCTTCTTCCTGTGTCCAGTGTCTCTTAAGTTTACTTGTACTGTCTCCGAAGGGATGATGATGGGTCCTGTAGAACTCCTGTATAGATTGTGTTTTTTCTTTTTGGCCCGAGGGCCGCATGCCCAAGGGCCCAACCAGTATAGCCTCTGCCTTGGGGCCTGTTACTTGGAGGCGTGTCAGAAGCTATTGTGGGAGTCCTCTGCTTTGCCTGGTCTTATCTTGAGCCTGCACCGCTTCTGGTCCTGTGTCTGCCGGAGGCGGCAGGTCCCTCTGCTCCTCCCCAACCGGCATAGTCTCCGCCTTGGGGCCTGTTACCTGGAGGCGTGTCAGAAGCTATTGTGGGAGTCCTCTGCTTTGCCTGGTCTGGGCTTGAGCCTGCGCGGCTTCTGGTCCTGCGTCTGCCAGAGGCGGCAGGTCCCTCGAGGCAGCATATTAATTATAGTGTTGTACAATTAGATGAGTGAGTGGATTGAAGGAAATAGGAAGGATATTTTGTGGAAAACAATGTATTCAACATTTATAAATCAGAATAAAATTTTTAAAAAATAAGGGAAAAAAGAATAGTTTTGACACATTTAACATTAACAAGACTTGTAAAAAGAACAAAAGCAACATAGGAATGATCACATCGGTCCTCTACAAACTCCACAAAAGGACTGACCTTACCAACAACCTCTACAGTATAAAACTGATTCCTGTTAGGTCAAGCATGCCTGTCCTCCTCAATTCTGCAACACCTACTTTTACTAATCCTTGGATCCAATATCTGTTGCAAATTATCAACAGACTTTACAGAATCTCCTTTTACTCACAATTGTGATGTTTATCAAAGAAATAGTTTGAGGGATGAGGAAGCAAAAGATACCACACAGTAAAAGTCCAGGTTTGGGAACAGCAGTCCCAAGCTAGGTTACTAGCAAGACAGAATTCCTCAATCAATCTGGACAGCTTGTCCATCAACAGGTGAAAGGACAACACAAATACAAGGAACCTTTGGTTTCCTCAATCGTTCAGTAAATTGTCTCACCACAGTCACAAGTCAGCTCTCCTTTCAATTATCCAGCAAGCAAAATCTTTAACAGTGGCTCTATCTCAAGGGTTCCTTGAGGCTACATCTTGTCACAATGTCTCCACAATCTAGTTGACTCTGTCTCCTATGTTGACATCAGAGCTGTTGATAATATAGAAGATGCTTATAGACACTGAACTATATATCTTCATTTGAGATAGCTAGAGATCATATCTCCCAAGGAGCTAAGTGTGCTGGATGAAGCCTCAACAATTTATTTTACGTACACATTCCTAACTGGCCATGTAGTTAGGTTTCAGACAGTGGACAGAAAAGTAGAAAAGTAAAAAAAAAAAAAATCCCACCACCACAAGATCAGATAAGTTGTGAAATGGCTTCAGGAATTTTATACATGGAGAAAGGAAAAGTCATTAAAAAGACAGAGAAATGGAAAGGTTGAATGAACATTAGAGGAGACTCTGAAATTTGCTCTTAGCCATGTGGTGATTGTGTTGTTAGGTGCTGTTGAGTTGAGCACATCTCATAAAGCTCAAATAAACAAACAACAGATCTGGACCCTGTTGTATCCTATACCATTCTCATCATCTCTTGATACATTTGAGCCCATTGCCGCAGTCACAAGAGTAGCTAAGGTGAAAGGAATAGATCATTTCTTTAAAAGAACTGAATAGCATAGTTCGAAAGGCAATTAAAAAAGACAAAGTGAAGTCTTACAATACAGTATGCAAATGCATGAATTAGAAAAACCAGATGGGAAAAGCGCAGTAGGTATTCGATCTACAGACATGAGTGAAATGTCTTAAACTGCAATATTGGTGGATTCTATGACTAAAATAGTGAAGGACATGCAAGCATGGCATGCATCAAATTATAGAAAGTTTACACAGAAACACTATTCCAAAGAGAATCAACCACTTCAGGAGGTAGCATATGATAAGAACTGATGGTATTGTACAATGAAGTCCAAAATAACATTGAAGGCTTTGTTAAAACAACAACAACAACAACAACAAAGGTTCCATGAATTGGCTGAATACTAGTTGATTTTTAAAAACAAACAAACAAACAAAAAAACAGACGCAATGAAGCAAACACTAGCAATTCATTGCCAAAACTTTCGAAGATAGCTATCCAACTGGATCAATCATCTTGATAAATAAAAAAAGATTGAAGTTGTCAAGGATTTAATTTTACTTAAATTCAGTCAACATTCATGGTAGCGGAAGTCAAGAAATCTATGAATGTGTTGCAGTTGGTGGATATGCTGCTAAGGATCTCTTTAAAGTGCTGAAAAGTACAGATGTTACTTTAAAGACTAAGGTGTGCCTGACACAAGCCATGATATTTTCAGTTGCTTCATATGCATTTGAAAGTTGGATAATGAATAAGGAAGATTGGGGAAAAAATGATGTCTCTAAGTTTTGGTGTTGGCAGACTGTATTGAATATACCAAGGACTGCCAAATGAACAAACAAATCTGTTTTAGAAGCAGTATAGCCAGGAAGTTCCTTTGAACGATAACAAACCTTTATCTCATATTCTTTAGATACGTGATTAGGAGGGACATGTCCTTGGAAAAGGAAAAAGAATTCTTGAAAAAAGGAAGATCCTCAAGGAAAGTATTGATACGGTGGTTTCAAAATGGGCTTAAATGTACCAACGATTCTGCGAATGGAACAGGAACAGACAATGTTTCATGTAGTGATTGTTGTACATACAGTCACTATGACAAACAAGATGAAATGAGACATTTTTATTTTATTGAACTAACAGAAAGTATTCAATGCATATTAGTAATTCTAAGCAATGTTGCTTCAAGAAAACTTTTTATTTTGTTTTCATATTAAGGCTCCAATGATTTTAATTCATGAACATCTTTCCAAATGCTTAGTATATTTTAGTCAATACTGACTATGAAACAGAAAAATAAATCATGTCTGCCATTCTCACATGGCATTTACGATTTTAAACTCTGTTAGGAAAGAAAGAATACTCATTACCACATTACTATAAAATGCAAAAATACACATTCCTTCATACTCAGGAAGTGAAATATCTCTTCACTGAAGATGAATTAATCAATTGTTAAGAGCAAGGGAACCGTCTTTGACAACTGAAGAGCTTACTTATTAAGAGAAAGGGAGACATTTGCAAATAGGCATTCAATTTTATACAAGCTACTCTAACCTTTTTTTGGGTTTTGGTTTGTTTTTTTTTTTGTTTTTGTTTATACAACATTTAAAATCTTGTGATAAAAGAAAGATTGTACAGTAAATTCTCTAATGGTCTTAACAGTAGCAGAGAAAACTCTCTTTGAAAACAGTCTTAAAGGTAAAGATAAAAAACTTTCAGTTTAAGTATCTCTCTTGGATAGACAAGAAGATACACTATAGATAAATTAGTGAGGTTTTCTAACTGAAGTGTATTTAATGACAATGTTAACCTAATGTTTGGGTTTTATTTTTTGAGTGACCTATTTAAATCATAAAGACACCCCAAGTTTTGTAAAATCTTTCATGGATTCTTTTTTTTTTGTTTTTTTTGAGAAGTATTTTATTAGGAATCTTTTGGATTTCCTTTTGAAGTCTAGGGGTATTTTTAATTTTCCTTTTGGATTTTTCTCTGGATTTATGCTTGGAGAGATTTTTTATTAGGAGGCTAACGAACAGGGAATACCAACAACAAGGGAGGCTGCCTTTCTAGGTTTCTCAATTTCCCACCTGCCAAATGTCCAATGTACAGGAAAGAGAAACAAAGGTCAGTGAGAAGTAATCAGCAGACTTACATAATCAGCAGATGTCCTCTTGCCTAGTTCTGGTTATCACTTCATCAGTTTGTAAGTTTATGGACTTCATTCATTTCTAGTTATTCTAGACATCTAGATGTCTAAATAAAAATTATTAAATGTTCCCCTGGAATATTTCAAGGCTGCTCTGTATGTGCCAAATATTTCTGTCCCACTTGTATTTTTGAGCTTTAGTAGCCTAGTGATAAGAAGCTGTGCTGCAATCTCAAAGGCATGCAGTTCGAATCCACCAGCTTCTCTGTGGAAGAAGGATGGGCATCTCTTCTCATGTGATTTATTGTCTCTGAAAACCTGCTAAAGGGTCAGCTATGCATCAGTTCAGACTCAACATTTCATAACAACAGTAAGCAGATATGTTTATAGTAGATCATTAACTCTAATCATATAATCGCAATCATCCTATATCATAGTCTTAGTTATTGAAAAGTATAATATAGGTTCAAGAAGGACAAAATGGTGTTAGTACTGCAAACTACTGACTGCTAATTACATTCAATGTCCAAATGCACCCTAACTACCCAAATGTTTGGAATAATTTTCAGACTTCTGAGAAGTTATTTAACATAGCAAATATGAAACAATGTTTACATGATCTTCCCCTTCTCCCCAAGTGCAAATATAATCAAGGAGAGAGAATGTACAGGAATGACTGCTCTATTATTTTCAAAGAACTTTAGTTTTTTTTTTTTCCTTTTCAACAACAAAAATTCTCTGTTTCCATTCTTAAAGAAGAAAAATAATGTAAAGGAAGAATTTTGCATTAAAGAGGAGTTGGGAATTTCATTCTCTTCAATATTTATGGTGTGTGGAAAGCAGAGATGAGGAAGAGAGGAGGAAGAAACATCCAGGTTGGCTTTTGGAATACCTCAGAGGGGATAGTGCTGTGAAGAGCATTTTCAGAGAATTTTTTTTTTCATCTGCAATCTGAGAAGTTACAATGCCCAAGGAGAAGCTTTATATATAGAATAATCCAGCAGGACCTTGAAAGCATATGGCTAAATTAAAAGACCATAGTAATCGTCACCATTCCTTATCATTGCTGAAGAGCATGTAGGAGACCCAGGAGTTATTCTTCACTGTACGGAGAAGTTTTTGGAGATAGAGGGAATTGTGCTAAGACTAGAAAATACCTGCAAAGGAAATGAATTGAGTGTGAAGAACTTTTATAAAAAATTAATAATTTCAAGGCCCAAGACCATTTTTTGGTGAGAACAGAGTGAGCTGTGGATGGCCAACAGGGGCTTAACCTAACAATAAGTCACTGGCCGAGGCAGCAAATTAACAGCCATTTTCAGAAGAAACAAAATCCAGCAGATATAGAACTGAGGTTTATTCTTTGCTCATCACCATAAGATCACATAAACACTGTCTGACACTTAAACTCACAGGAAATACTAGTAAGTATCTAAGATTGGTCTAAACTTAGAGATATCTACATATTTATCTGTGTACATCTATCTATATTTCAATCAACCTAAATGCTAAATTCAAATACATTTTGTATGTTGGAAATTCAGTTTGTTTCATTGTGGAGTTGTGTAACCAACCACTATTTTGATCAATTTACTTCTAGAATTGAGCCTTCAGTGCTCTCCCTAAAACACAAATATGAAAATCCTG